CCACATATAATTTTGATGCAAGTGTAACTCAACGTTAATCTACTCACTTTGTGTTACTATCCACATTTAGATGCATGTATGTGCACTTAAGAAAAAGAACGTGGAGAATTTCTGGAAATATACGTTATTCTCATTACTTTTTTTTGGGTCAGTTTTACAATTACTTTATAGTATAGTTTTATCTTTATAACTTTAGGGTGATATTTATTTTTCCTTTACGAACTTTACTGATTGCAAGTTTGCAAATATGTCAACAAACAATAATTAAACATAATATTGCATCCTTGTCTTCCAAGATATGGAGGATATATGATACCCCCTCCGTCTCATATTATAAAATATTTTGGTTGAATACGCGAGAATTAAAAAAAAAAAAACTTATAAATTAAAACAATATTTAATAATTATTTAAAAAATATAATTCAACTAATTATATAAAAAACTACAGAACTTAAAAAATAAAATAAAAACCACATAACATTATAATTTGCATAGAAACTAGTAAAACGTCTTATATACTAGAGAAAGTCCGCGCGTTTCGTGGAAAAACTATTTAGGTGATTTTTAAATTATATTAATATCATATATATATAGTGATATACTTTAATGATGTTTAAGATTTATGCTCATAAATTTTAATTTTTTTAAATTAAAACATATGAAGTGAACCATATGATGATATATACAAATGTGTTTTATTTGTGCTATGAAATTCAACATCGTCTTCTTTTTGAACCTCTATGTCATAGTCCACTATTGTAAAGAATGAATGTCGAGTCCGCATGTGGCCGAAAAATAAAATTTATATAGTAGAATATGCAACAATTTATACATAAAGATATATGTAAAAGTCAGTAAGATTTTTAATGGAATTTTTGAAAAATATACCAATTATGTTTGAAAATTTGAAAAATACACCTTGTTTTTTGGTTTTTGAAAAATACCTCTTTCAATAATTGAAAAATCTCTTTTGTCCTTATTTGATTTAACAACTAATTAATTTATAAATATTATAATTATTATTAATTCTATTTTTAATTGAGATAAAGATGTGTTATTTTTAAAAAATTAATCAATTCGTAAATACAATTATTGTTAATATTTTTTAATTTGAGATAAAGTTGTGTTATTGATTAAAAATTAATTAATTTTTAAATATAATTAATATTAATATTACTTTTCTTTTTATTTGAAAAAGTTGTTTTGTTGTTTTAAAATTTAAAATTTACTAGTAAATATAAAAAAAAATTATCTTGTTATATAAGATGTTTATTTTTAACATTTATCACATTATAAACTATTTACAATAACACCCTACGTTTCTTATATAAAGAAGAGTATCAAGTTTTGGAAGCAAAATCAAAAAAATATAATTTTAATAAGGCATTTCATTAAATATTCGTTTAAAAAATATTTTATGGCATATTAATAGTGAATATTTCTTTTGTATAATTGTAATTTTAGATAATGTTATATAACATTTTCTATTATCTCATATCAAATATAAGATAAATCTTGTAAAAGATATGATCAACTAAACTTTAGGCTATATATATCACAACAAATTAAATTTTATTTAAAATATATATTTTTTCCAGATTTTATGGAGATATTTTAGTAATTTTAAATTCAAGAAAGTGTATTTTTTAAAACTACTAAAAACAGAGGTATTTTTCAAATTTAAAGAGGCAAAAGAGATATTTTTCCAAATTTCCTCATTTTTAATTGCTTTTGAAATTGGCTAATCACATATTTAGTTTACAAAATTTGATTCTTATATTATCTAATTTATATAGCTTCTACAATGTTTTAACAAAATAACAGTCTTCTATATACAACTTTATTTTTATTCACGTCTTTATGGTTATTTGCATAAAACACTCTATATAAAAATCAAATCAAGTTTTTAGATAACATAAATAATTTCTTTAGTTTTTAACTGATCTCCTACAAAATCATTTTTTATCTAATCAATAAATGAAGATCATGTTATAATACCAGTTTGGTATTTTATTTGCATAATGAAAAATCTTGTACATAATTATCAATGATGTGTCATGATTAGTTTTGCTTGGCCTATACTTTCAAAATGTTTTAACTATTGACATTTAATACCATGAGTTACAAATCAAAACGTCCACAGATGAGGTTTACTTGCAATATGAGTTTTAATCCCAAATTTCTTTTCCTTAAGATGCTCCATACGCTTAAAAAAGTGTGTTTATCGGACTTTTTTTTAGTGTACAGTTAATTTTATCTTACAATATTAGTAAAATAGATATTCAAAAGTAAAAAATAATTTCAAAATATTTTATGTCAATAATCTTAAAATATGTCAATTTTTCATGTTATTAAAATATTGGTTTGCTAAACATGTTGAAGCAGTTATATAATGACACATGTCGTCGATACAAGAAACATATATAATAAACATTTTAAATATTTTTTTTTAAATTTATTATAGAATAATTTGATCTTATTAAGGTCATACTTTTAATATACTTGATCTAATAATTTATGATAGTTTTCGAAGTTCTAATTAAGATTTTTTTTTCAAATATTAGTGAAGAGATATTGTCAAAACAAAACACTATACATTAGAATATAGTTTCACATATTTTTTTCCAATCAACTTGATGTTAATTTTTACTTCGAAATTAATATTACATCACACTTTTATTTTAAAGAGTCAATCCAACAATCTTAATATCTATTGAAGACAAATGTCAAAATTAAGAAAATATAAGGTTCAAAATGAAAAAATTGACACGTGTCAGTTTCTCAGAGCTTGACTTTGTGGAAACCTTACAATATTATGTAGTAGGGATTGTCCACGCGTTGCGTGGAGTTTAAAAATTAACATGGTAAAATATTAACTTAATAGATTTTAGTTATTAATTTTGTATTTAATACTATATAAATTTGGTGTTTATTGTAAATAATTATTTAAGTTAGAAGATTAAGCATTTCTAACAAATTGTTAGACATACACACCAT